TTCCTGTAGAACAAATGGTTGGCAAATCATTCATAGATGATGTCTTCCAGCTCAGGAAATAATGGTTGCCGACATGATCCACACTGGAGCTTCTTAGCATGTCTCTCATCTACCTGTTGACTGAGGTCATTGTACTCTGCTTGCCATTTTTTGGACCATGCGGAGATGCAACTTTTTCTCTTTGCAGAAAGCCATGAGATTCTTGCCCTGGGAGTCCTCCATGATCCCTTTCTTGTACTTGATGGAATAGCTCTTTCTTTTTGCACTCATCTTGTCCAGGGTTTGCAGTTTATGACATAAATAGTGATGTACATAAAATATTTAGGCTGACCTTGACTAGGGCTTTTTCTGGGGTAGGACTTATATTACAGAGCAGCCTAAAAATCATGCTAGGGCTTATTTTTGAAGTAGGTCTTTTTTTGGGGGACACACGGTACTATGTATGTAGGCTAGTTGTGTGTAGAAATGCATGTAATTATTATACATGCATTATTTCTTTTTACCTGACTGGGGTTCAGTTCTAATAATAAATTTGCTTTAATTGCTTAAACTGTGAAGGTGGAGTTTAGCTGTAAATAACCCCAGAATTGTAATGCAATACCTGTTTTATTATGACTTTTATGGCAGTTACGAGGATAAAAAAAAAGCAGAGAGTATGTACTGGTAATTGCCTGAAGAGGTTAGCTGTTACCGAAAGATTAGTTGGCTTTATCGCCATTAGGATATAATTCCTTAATTTGTGCTTGTTAAAGCATTTACTGTTCTGATAATTTAGTGGCCACAGTGATTATTTATTCAGTGCTTTAGCTGATATAGCACTGACTGCTTCACTACTTTATCGACTCTACAGCTTAATGCCGTTATACTTTCCATCCTTTAAATACTGTACAGCAGACAGTCTCCACTTTCTCCTCAAAATCCTTAACTTGTCATATAATCAAAATTCCTTGGCTGCAATAATAAAATTAACCAAGCCAGTAATTAGCCAAACCTTTCCTGGATTTCATTACATTACATTTTACAGAACAAAATCTTGATATTCTTTTTCTTTGTTTGACATGTCTGTTAATCTAGCTTGCACTGATCAGCAATCACAGCAGTCTATCCAAGCCTTGTTAAAATGAGCACATTATGCATTAAAGGGTGAATGGTGGAAAGATACAGATCACTGGTATACTTACAAATGTCAAGTTGTGTGGGTTTGCTGTTTCCCTTTTGTATTAACTGTTGCAACATATGAAAACTGCAGAACACCAAACTATAGCAGAACTTAAAAAAATAAATGTAGATGCCTGAGCTAGGTAAAGAATATGTTACCCCAACATGTTATATTTCTGATATGTGTCTGTGGTACCATGTTCTTTTATTAAAAAGTCCCCTGTTCTCTTTGCATTGCTTTGTGTGAAATATCTGGTGATCCTGCCAGCCCCCCTGCTTTGCATTCTACTTGGGAGAACAGTAGTCTGCCTGTAATCCAATGGTCAGATGTCTGCGGGCACCCCCTGCCCCCTCCACAGCTAATTATTGGGAAGATCACTGTACTGGTGTTTCCCTGTCTCCTGCTGACACACCCCCTTTGGTCTCCACCCCCTTTCCAGCTCTTTAAGCCACTTATGCAGCTTAAAACAGAAGAGGCCACGTGATCACTTATAAAATATATACAAACAAGAAGCTATGCACAGCACACCTCCATAAGTCTGGATGTAATTACAATGTAGCAATTAGGATCAGAACTGTATTCCTATCTGTGTGAGCAAATCTGTGGTTTTCCTTCACATGGGGTCCCTAAACCCTAGGAGAGGCCTCAGAGCAACTATATCCTCTGGGGAAGAATACTAATGCATCTATCACATCCATGAATTGCTCAGAAGTCTTGGGCTGCATTGTCAAGCTTTAATACAGGGAAGTTGATCCAGACAGACCAGCTCATCATTTTCTTTTTATGCTATTGTAACGTTCCCCTTTTGAGGGCCACTGGATTTGGGTCCTCCTTTAGCTTTGCACGGCCAGGCAACACACATTTTTCCACCTCTTCAGGCACACAGAGCCAGTAATACAGTCCTTTTTTTAGTTGTTTTATAAGGGGTTAACAACTTGGATGGGGTCTAGGAGTATATGGGATGCCCAAGGAACTGCAAAGATGAGGACAAACATCTTAGCAACCCATACACTATACAAAATATGTGGAAAAATATACCTGGTGTTGTGCTAAAAAAACAATCAAAGTGATCTCTTATAAATATTACATAAATAAGTCTTAAATATACAATTGTGCAATTAATAAAAGTGATCTAAAATAGCCCAATAACAAAAAGAATAAAGCACAAAATGATGATCAAAGTGTAAAATAATAATCATAAATGTGACAGTCCCAATGAAGGTATGTTAAACAGTCCCCTTTTTCTTCCTTAAGTGAATGTTTCCAGATCCTTGTTCTGACTTGTGTGACCACCAACGTGACCACTACACCACTGTGACAACAAATTGGAGGTTTACCAGATTCTTTGACCCCTTAATAATAGGAGGTTAACATACGTTTGTTGAAAACCATCGATGCACGCTGCTATGCCACAAACTGGACCACATGTGCCTTTTTGAAAATGTCCCGGTCACACAGGGTTTACAACCATGCAAAATAAAAAATGCCTTTCATAGTGCAAATAGTTTGCAAACCATTTATTCAAAAAGGAGGAATCGCACTTACAAATAGTTTAAAATCTCGAGCATGTATAAAGATCATCGAACAGCAAAGACTGGCAATCATCGGCAACTCTTATGAGATGACGTCACAAAGGGAGGCTCCAACCGACGCGTTTCATCATAACCAGATGTCTTCTGGAGCTAGATACAAAATATGTGAATCCAAAGGAAAATATAGCACTGTCTCTTTTAAGGAGCACTGAAATCCCCTTGGTGTACCTCCTCAGACCCCAGATGAATCCTTCTCTTCACACAGCTACACAGAGGGTATGCCTGTGCAAGGAATTCCAAGAGCTAACATTTAAGTAGTTCCGGATGAGAACTAGTTGGGTCTTGCCCATGACCACTCTCTCCCTTTATATGGCCCAGGGGGTGTTGGTGTAAGCAGTACTCACACTGTCCTGTCCTGTCCTGTTAGCTTGGTGGGTTGATGGCTGCCTTCAGGCCTTATGCTGGGCTGGTTCCTTCCCTGCTGCACAGGATGTCCTCCCTAGGAGACTTTGGGCAGTGGAGATCCTCCTTTCTAGCATCCTGCCTGTAGGTAGGCTTCCCTCCCAGGAGTCCCCTCCCAGGCTCCACACTCCAGCCTTCTCTCAGTCCATCTTCCATCTAACTCCAGCAACAACTTCCCTGCTGCAGAGGATCTGACACATTTAAGGGCCCTTGGTCACCATGCCAGACCTCCTGCCTGGGGATTGGCCAAGTCCCCCTATACATGCAAATCTGGGCCTCATTCTATCCTCTGTCCCTTTTCCAGAAAGTTCTCTCAGTTTCTGGAAGGGTGTGGAGCTTCACTGGCAGGAAGGAGGAACTGGAGGGGGAGGGAGAACACAGCCTGCACCTCCTTTCTGTTAGATCTACCCTGCTACATTACACAATGATCATGTCAGCCAGCAATCTAAGTGCTTATGCTACCCTTACTGCTACTGAAGAGTCATGTGGGGCAGAATACAGGCTTTCTCGGAGTACAATTGCAAAGCATGTACTCTCTGCTGGGGAATGGGCTGCTGTAAGGTTGCCACCAACAATCAGGCAGTTAAAAGAAATGGCAAAATCAACCAGGTATATACAAATGTAGAAAACATGAATGATTGTAAGCTTCTGCAAAAAGGTACACTGCATACTTTTATAGACAACTACATTTAGAACATTCTGAGTTTAATGACACTTTAATAAGCAATGTGAGAATAAAAGGTTGCTTAATATATGCTACTGGGAAGAAGGGGTTAAGTGAACCTGTACCAATATAAAATATATTCATATATATCGATCTATGTATTCACTTTAAAGTGTTTGTAAGGTTTTTATTATATAAAAAAGATGTTATACTTACCTGCTCTGTGCAAGGGTATTGCACAGAGCAGCCCTGATTCTCCCCTTCTGGGGTCCACTGCCGTCACTCTTGGCTCCTCCCTTTCTTCATGTGCCATCATAGGAAGCCACAATGGTGGCAGACTTGCAGGCTAGCTCTTGAGGCAGGCTTTGTGCTTTCATTGACACACACAAAACTGTTTGTCCCCGCCCCTGCCCTCTGCTAACAGGATTTGACGGACAGCAGCAGGAGCCAATGGCTCCTGCTGCTCTTAGCCAAGCCTGGGACAGTAGGGAAAGGGGAGAGAATGTCTGCAGGTGGGCACAGCACTGAATCGATACAGTATTCAGGTAAGTACTGCAATTAGAAAAACAAAAGTAAAACAGGGCGCACCCTCATCGTGCATTACTGTGCTGATACACAAATTTATTTAAAAGCATATAGATGCATACTCACAAACAATAGAATGCTTTAAGGTAACAAAAAAAAAATTTGACTTTAGAACAACTTTAATAGGTACAATGCACAATAAAATGAAAAGGAAGCTGAAAAGCAAGATGGAACCAAATCTGAGTATTACGTTGATAGCACTAGATCAGGCTTATTCCTGAGAAGTATTCCTGTTTTGTACAGTATTCCACAACTGTGTGTAATGAGCTGGTGGGGTAAATAATAAGCAGACTGAGCACAGCGAGGAAAATGATATGTTTTTTAACTTGCGCTATTTGTTTTCTCTTCCTCTTTTCATGTTTTTCTAGCAGCAGATCTGATAACACCATATGTTGCTTCTTCACAGACTGGTTTTTCCTTCAAAGTGCAGACCCATCATGTCTAAACTACATACATCATGTATGGTTGTAGGGTGGTTGCGGCGCGGGGCACATTCAAGTTCAGGGGCAGTACCATCTGCTGAATGCAACATGCTATTTCATTTTTTCCATGGCTGCTACAACACAAGTACAGCCCTCAGGGGCGGACTGACAACTCATGGGGCCCCCGGGCAATAGGGGATCGTGGGGCCCCTGTGTCCTTGCCCAAACTCAAAAAAGCCTATGAAAAAGGTACCAGGGGCATCTCATGGGGCCCCCTACTGACCCCGGGTCCTCGGGCAGTGCCCGAGTTTCCAAATGGTCAGTCCACCCCTGACAGCCCAACCTGCCCATGAAAAGTGTATTTAGTTTTTTTACATAAGGATACTTTATACATAAGAAGGCCACCCTACAAAGAAATCCAATATTGTTTTTAAAAGAAGAGGAGGTAGTGTGGAGAAGCATTGGACCAGAGTCTAGTTAGGTTTTTTAGTTTGAAGTATTGTATGCATTCCAAAAGCAGCTCTCTAGGATCTGACAAGCCTTGCCATGACTCTCAGGAACAGTTGTGAGATTGATTGAAGGAAGAGAGTGCAACTTTGTGATAAGTAGCCCAGATAAAGTTTACTCATTGCAGTAGTAGTGAAATGTAACCAGTTATATGTATCCAAAGCATTTAGGGCTAGTTCACACTAGATACAGTCCAGTGTGTTTTTTTTCTGCATTAAAAACGCATGCACAGGGTTTTCCATGTATTCCAATGGCCCTAGTTCACACTAGTGTAGTCAGTTCAAGTCAATTTCCGGTGCAGAAAAAAAAGTAGAACATGCTGCATTTTTTCTGCACAGAACTGTACTGGAACCAGGGGCGGACTGACCATTTGGAAACTCGGGCACTGCCCAAGGGCTCGGGGTCAGTAGGGGGCCCCATGAGATGCCCCTGGTACCTTTTTTATAGGATTTTTTGAGTTTGGGCAAGAACACAGGGGCCCCATGATCCCCTATTCCCCGGGGGCCCCATGAGTTGTCAGTCCGCCCCTGCACCTATGCAAGTTGCGTTTGAGACATTTCTGCATTGTGTTTTGCTTTTTGCACTTGCGCTTTTGCTGCGTTTTTTTTTTTTTTTTTATTGTTGCAGATTTAAAACAAAATGCATCCAAGATGCATCAAAACCAAAATACATGCTTTTCTGCAGCGTTTCCATTGAAGTCTATAGAAACACAAATGCTAATTTTTGCATTAAAAAAAAGTACCTGACCCTTTCAAAAAAAACGCAGCGGGTGAAAACACACAGGCGTGAACATGTCCCATAGGAAATCATGTTAAATGGACTGTACTGCGTTTCTGAAAAATACAAAACGCTGTAGAAAACGCTTAGGTGTTAGGAGTTTAGAGTCAGGGGGGTTTAGAGAAAGAAAAAACCCCACAGCCAGGGACAGAATCAGCTTGATAGAGAAAATGCCTGACGTGTGTAAACACATCTGAAAGTGCTTCAACATCAGGCACGTTTAGTATTTGAGTGTTCATTTATTTCAGTGGCCAGAATAAAATATTATTTTGGCCAATAAAATGAATGAATGCTCAAGTCCTTGACACGCCTAGCGTTACCGTGCTTTTAGACTGGTTTACACACGACAAGCGTCTTCTCTGCCAAAACGCTCTACCTCTAAACTCCTCTGAATGCTTATGTGTGCATGGACACAGACTAACATGCACCAATAGGACACCCAGAAAACAAGTTTTCTATGTGTCCTATTAACACTGCAATGCAGCCCACACCCACTTTATTGCAGCCTACAGTATGGGATTGCATGTCACTTTCTGCACTTTAAATAAAGTTGAGTTTAAAAAAAAGGGGGACTGTTTAATACGCTAAAACACACCTTGCACATCACCCCCTACCGCCGGCTCACTACAGCTGGAATGGACAGCTGCTGCACACTAAACTGCCCGAGGGCCCGGGGTCAGTAGGGGGCCCCATGAAATGCCCCTGGTACCTTTTTATAGGCTTTTTTGGGTGTGCTTTGAGTGTGGGCAAGTTCACAAGGGCCCCATGATCCCCTATTGCCTGGGGGCCCCATGAGTTTTCAGTCCACCCCTGACTGGAACATAGCAAACTGCATCAAAACTGCACTGGAACAAAGGGTGGTGTAAACTGTAAGCAAAAATGTATCCGGAATGCATCCAGAATGAGTTTTTTTGGTGTGAACTGGCCTTTAGAGGGATTATATGTCTTCTTTTATCAGGGCATATGCGTCTTATGTTGCATGGGGTCTGCATGCAGAATTAGTACCACAGGATTATTAAGCAGGCTCAGATCGCAGGTCTAGCTGCAACATGGCACTCTCTTGTTGTTTTAAAACAAGGTACTCTTGACTTTCCATCCTATAAGAATTGAATCCACTTCTCCTGCTACATCAAACTGAACAACAGAGCTTACAAGCCAAGTTAAGGAGCATGTCTGACTGTTAGGCCTCATGTACACTGCAGCTGATAAGCTCACGTTTAGGAGCTGTTCAGCGTTTTTCTCAACAGCCCCTGAACTCACCCTAATGTTTTCCTATGTGTCCATGTACACATCTTCGTTTACAGTCGTTTACAGGCATTTGAGTTTTTTTGTACGCAGAAAACTTGTGTTCAGCAGTCGATTTTATCAGCGTTTCAAACACAAAGAGCTTGTAAACACTTGTAAACGCGACACATCGCGTTTATAAGCGCTTTTGTTTCAATTTTTTTTTAACTCTTCCAGTTCCCGATGCTGTCCAGAGCTTTTTTTCATCATGAAAAATGCATGCAAAGCATTTTTAAGGTACTCAGATGGACAAAACTCTGAAAACAGGATGTTCCTACCAAGCTTGTCACACATTGTAATGACCAATCCACACCTCAGACCTCTCCCACCCTTGGAAACAAAAAATATGTTAATGACCATTCACACCTCAAATTCCTCATGAAGACCTCCTGCCAGGTGACCTTAATGACTCATTCCACCAGACACCTTTCCCACCCTTGGAAACAAAAGAAATGTTAATGACCATTCACACCTCAAATTCCTCATGAAGACCCCCTGACATGTGGCCTTAATGACTCACTCCACCAGACACCTTTCCTGCCCTTGGAAACAAAAGAAATGTTAATGAGCTCATGCCTAAGCTAATTTCAACACATACTGCTGTCTCTGCTTCTACTCTCTGTATTTCTCTGAAACAGTCTGAAATAGTTAATAATTTACCACTTTTCATTGCATTTTGGGCATTTGGGAGGTTTTCCTGTGTTTATCTTAAAAAAAAAACGCTTCTAAATGCAAACGCACATAAATGCATTATGCAAACACGGTTTTTAACAGACTTTTTTTTACCTACGTTTTCCAGCAGTCAGTTTCCATCGTTCACAAGTGTCCCGTGTACGCGGGGCCTTAGAGACACCATAAACCATCATTTTTTTCACATAAAAGGTCATTGTCTATCTAAAACTACATTAACATATTGCTTTTCGGTCACTTTAGATGCAAACCGTGCTTATTGGAGTAAGCAGGCTATAGACTGGTACATCTAGTATCTTTATACCTGTGGGAATTCAATGATAAAGGCATCTGTCATGCTTTACTAACATCCCACTAATACTGTTCCAGGATTCAGCAACAGATTAACCCTTGCAGGGAGTATTCGAGGAGCCCCATACAGTATGCTCACTAGTCATCATTGTTCAATAAATATCTAATATAATGAAAAGAGATTTAATGTTCCTCATTCTGCAATGAAAAAATAAATCCTGTCTTCTCAGGTGTCACTGATGCTGACTCAGTTTCAGATGCTTAATTACCTGACAATGCTAGTCTTCAAATATTTTGAAGTCAATTGCTTTTGCAGGGAAGTGTGAATCAGGGTTGTGCAGCCCAATAGATCATTTTAGGTCAGTGTATGGTATTAGACTATAAATATGTCTGAATGAGACATGAATGTCAATTTATTTAAAGCTTTATGCTGAGCAAAAAGAGTTCTACACTGGAATTATGTAATATGTTTAAGCAGCTGATTTATTGAGACATAGATTTTTCTATAAAACTTTCCCTGGTGTTTGGCATGTTTGTGTCATTGTTGTGGTGGTTGGAAAAAAATGAATTGATTTTAAAGTGGAAGTGGCCTGTTTAATATGTGATCACCAGTGTTCCAGCCAGGGGGCCGGCAACATTTCACTACAACAAATGAGACCCCCATAACCGTCCAGCTACATGCTGCAGCAATTTAAAAACAATCCTAGTATACCCTCACTGGCCACTTTATTAGGTACACCTGTTCAATTGCTTGGTAACACAAATTGCTAATCAGCCAATCACATTGCAGAAACTCAATGCATTTAGGAATTTAGACGTGGTGAAGACAACTTGCTGAAGTTCAAACTGAGCATCAGAATGGGGAAGAAAGGGGATTTAAGGGACTTTGAACGTGGCATGGTTGTTGGTGCCAGACGGGCTGGTCTTAGTATTTAAAAACTGCTAACCTGCTGGGATTTCCATGTACAACCATATCTAGGGTATAAATTAAATATCAAAATATTCAGTGAGTGGCGGTTGTGTGGACGAAAATGCCTTGTTGATGTCAGCGGAGAATGGGCAATGTCAATATGGAGAAAAATCTCTGAGGAATTTTTCTAGCACCTTGTTGAATCTATGTCACAAAGAATTAAGAGTTCTGAAGGAAAAAGGGGGTCAAACCCGTACTAGCAAGGTGTACATAATAAAGTGGTCTGAGTGTAAATGTCACAAATACTCACCTAATCCCATCGTGTGATCCTAATCCTAATCCGGTGACATGATTGGTCTATAGCAGTGGTTCTTAACCTGGGTTCGATCGAACCCCAGGGGTTCGGTGAGTCAGTCTCGGGGGTTCGGCGGAGGTGACCCACACCCGACTCATATGATTTGTGATGACATGCCCCGCTTGTCCATCATTGGCTGCAGGTGGTCACGCAACATCGCTTAGCCCAGTGGTCGGCAAGCCGCGGCTCTTGTGTGCCGGGCGCCCGCTCCCCTCCCTCCTCTCGGGCGGCAGGGACTCAAATGCATTGATTGGCCAGTCTCGCAGCCACTCACATCCTGATAGCCAGTGATTGGCTGTCAGGATGTGTGTAGGCGCGGCAGCGTGGCGAACGTGAGAGGAGCTAGGCTCCTCTCACAGTCCGCCCTGAAGACCGGAACGGCGCGGGAATACAGCGAGAGGAACGCGCGGAGCAAAGGTAAGTGAATTGACACAGGGGGGGACTTGGGGACTTAATATGGGGGATGAAATAATATGGGGAATGAATTACTATAGGGGGGATGAATTACTATATGGGGGATGAATTACTATATGGGGGATGAATTATTATATGGGGGATGAATTACTATATGGGGGATGTATTACTATATGGGGGATGTATTACTATATGGGGGATGAATTACTATATGGGGGATGAATTACTATATGGGGGATGTATTACTATGGGGGATGAATTACTATATGGGGGATGAATTATTATATGGGGGATGAATTACTATATGGGGGATGTATTACTATATGGGGGATGTATTACTATATGGGGGATGAATTACTATATGGGGGATGTATTACTATATGGGGGATGAATTACTATATGGGGTATGAATTACTATATGGGGGATGTATTACTATGGGGGATGAATTACTATATGGGGGATGAATTACTATGGGGGATGAATTACTATATGGGGGATGAATTACTATATGGGGAAGGAATTACTATAGGGGGGATGAATTACTATATGGGGGATGAATTACTATATGGGGGATGAATTACTATATGGGGGATGAATTACTATGAGGGATGAATTACTATGGGGGATGAATTACTATATGGGGGATGAATTACTATATGGGGGATGAATTACTATGGGGGATGAATTACTATATGGGGGATGAATTACTATATGGGGGATGAATTACTATGGGGGATGAATTTTCATACCGTTTGTTACAACATATCTTTGCGAGCAATCCTTTTCGAGGATGCTGGACATAAAGACGAAGAAAAGGAACAGACTTTGTTGCGAAAATGACATGAGAGTGGCACTTGCCAAGGTAATGCCGCGCATTTCTGAACTGGCCTCTGAAAGACAACAGCAGAAGTCACACTGATTTGCGGTAAATATTCATTATTTTGTTTTTGTGTGAAAATCATGTTTTAATGGTTTTGTTCTTTGTTCTTAATGGTTTTGTTCATTTTGTGCACCTATGTATAAATATATACCTATGTTTTGAATTTTAAAAATCATATTTTATTTTTCCAATTAAGAAGGGTTCGGTGAATGCGCATATGAAACTGGTGGGGTTCAGTACCTCCAAAAAGGTTAAGAACCACTGGTCTATAGCCTTTTCTCTTTCTTTGCTGACTTGCCAGTCACATAAACACTTCCCATTGGCTGCCCATCTGTCCTTACAGGTTTTAACCACTTGGTAACCGCGCTATAGCCATATAGCCGTATAACCGCGTATGCGCTATACGTCCTCCCAGAACGTGCCCTCCCACACGGCCCCAGCGGCGTGCACCCTGCAATCTTCAATATCGCTGTGTCCTACGGACACCGCTGATCACGTGATGAGGTAAAAGGCCAATCACATCAGCCTTTTACCACGGGATCAGCTGTGTCCAATGACACAGCAGATCAAAGAGTAAATACAGTTGCCGGTTATCGGTTATCATGCTGTCACAGCATGAGGAAAGTACTGCTGATAACCAGCAGCTGTCACAGAGCAGATCAGCACTGATTATCAGGGAACTGATGATCAGTGCCCTGCCGTGCCACCCAGCAGTGCCTCCCACCAGTGCCCAGCAGTGCCTCCCACCAGTATCCAGCAGTGCCACCCATCAGTGCTGCCCAGCAGCTGCGCCCATCAGTGCCCAGCACTGGCGCCAGTCAGTGCCACCAGTCAGTGTCGTCAGTCAGTGTCGCCCATCAGTGCCGCCAATCAGTACCCATCAGTTCCGCCTATCAGTGCCCATCATTGCTGCATTTCAGTGCAGCATCATCAGTGCCTCCTCATCAATGCCCACTAGTGCTGCCTCATTAGTGCCACCTCATCAGTGCAGCCTATCAGTGCCCATCAGTGCTGCCTATCTGTGCCACCTCATAAGTGTCCATCTGTGCTTCTATCAGTGCCCATCAGTGCTGCCTATCAGTGCAGCCTCCTCAATGCACATCAGTGAAGGAGAAAAATGACCTGGTTGCAAAATTTTATAATAGAAACAAAGAAAAAAAAATGTTTTCAATTATTTTGCTATTTTTTTGTTTATAGGGCAAAAAATTAAAAAAAACAGTGTTGATTAAACACCTCCAAAAGAAAGCTCTGTTTGTGTGAAAAAAATGATACAAATTTCATATGGGTACAATATTGCATGACCGCGAAATTGTCATTCAATGGGCGATAGCACTGAAAGCTGAAAATTGGCCTGGGCAGGAAGGGGGTATAAGTGCCCAGTAGGCAAATGGTTAAAGACTCCAGCAGAATCACAAACTGGAGAGAACAAAACTGGATCACTGTTCTTCACAAGCTAAAAAGGCATTGGCAAAGGATTTAATGGCGGAAATGAGTAAAAAAAAAGCTTTAGGGGCTTTAAAATAAATAGTGAATGTGTAGGAGGGGTGTGGGTAGAAAGGATGGTGGCAAATTGAAGAATCCTGGAAATGGGCTTTATCATTAAAGTGGACCTTCACCCTCTTTAGGAATTCTAATTATCCTCTCTGTAAAGTAATCTGATATTGCATTTATCTCCCATCAAAACAGCCAGCCCTGCATTTCTGGATTTTCTAACCTAGGCCAGAATAAAGTACCTTCCATCCTAAAGCCTCCTGGGATAATAAGTTCACACATCTCAGAGCAGGGGCAGACTGACAACTCATGGGGCCCCCGGGCAATAGGGGATCATGGGGCCCCTGTGTCCTTGCCCAAACTCAAAAAAGCCTATGAAAAAGGTACCAAGAGCATCTCATGGGGCCCCCTACTGACCTGTGGCCTCCACAGAGTTTAATCCAGCGCTGAGTCCTTCTTTCTAATATCACATTTGTTACCTGCTTTTGAAGAAAAAGTCTAGATCAGGGGTGCTCAACCTGTGGCCCTCTGATGTGGCCCATGAACTCAAACCAGGGAAGAGCATACCTGGGGTCAGAAACCCATTGTGATCTGGACTTTCTAACCTGCCATCCCAGAGCATCAGAGTGCAGTGAGCCAGTGCCGGAAGTGAAGGAGCAGGAGCCGCAAAGCCAATGCTTCCTCAGTAGTGTCAGCTCCTGTCCATATCAAGTGATACCAAGTGCACTCCACCTCTAATCCTTCTAGCAGCCTAGACAGTGATGCCAGCAGCAGCTGCAAGAGGAAAAGAAGTCCAATGTATTAAACAACACATACACTGGGCATAATAGATTTTGCAATGAGCATATTAGTATCTAGAGAAGGGTTATCAACTAATAGGTGCAGTGATCTGCAGGTGCACTTCTATTATATCCTGTGGGGTTAAAGGGTTCCATCCAAAAGTGGTTTGTTTGCCTCCCCCCCCCCCTCCACTACCATATTTGGCATTTTTTTTTGGGGGGGGGAGCGGATACCTGGTTTTGACAGGTACCCGCTCCCACTTCTGGCTCAGCAAACTGAGCAAGAAGTTTGGCAACCCCCTTCCTTTCTCCCGCACTCTTATGGGACACTTCACAGGTCCCAGAAGACTGCGGACCAATCAGGATGCGCAGCAAGACTTGCACATGCGCACTGGGCACCCGACTGTGAAGCCGCGAGCTGTCACAGCCTGGTGCCCACAGTTGAGATGCCGGCGCCAAGGAAAGAAAAAGAGAGAGAAGGAATGGTGCGGGTGAGCACATCGCTGGACCCCGGGACAGGTAAGTGTGTGTTTATTAAAGTCAGCAGCTACAGTTTTTGTAGCTGCTGACTTTTAATAAACACAAAAATGACTTGAACTTTGCTTTAATGCGCTTTTGGAAAGTTTATGCTCTCATAAAGTGCACCACACCCACAAGATGTAATAGAAGTCTATGGAAAAGTTCAGCTAACCAGCAGGAAAGCCGCTGGTGCACTGTGCTGCACCCTCAGCGCAGACATACCGTAGCACATCAGTGTGAAAGCAGCTTTACAGGGGGGCTCAGGACAGTAGGGATTCATTTGCTTTTTGCGGTTTGGGGGGGCGGTAAAACCCCATAGTTCATTGTGGACCAAATCATTTAAGTGGCCCTCACTCTTCAAAAGGTTTAGCAACCGTAGTCTAAATACTTCAGAGTGATGTATTTTGATAACTTATAATTGTATTTGGAAGACACATGTATTCATCCCCTCTTTGCCTTCCAACAATACAAAATTTGGAAATATTAATCCAGAGCTAAAATGTTAAAGAATGTCTCTTTGTGTCTTCAACTATAAAAGCAGAAATGTATATACGCGATGTCAATCAGTTTATTCCTAACAATCGTTAAGCCTATGCACACTAAGCTGTTGTTGCTATATACATGTCAATCACCCAACTGTAATACATATGATTGCTGCACCAATTGTAAGCAATATACGTCACCAGATCACAAAACACAGAATGACACATCTGAGGTCTGGAAAGACTATACTCAATACAATAAACCATTAGTTGTTATAAAGCCCGAAATCACAGAACCATTTATGTTTTGTCATGTCCCAGTACAGTGGTATCGCACCAGCTGCATGCAGGACAGTAAACTTGAATTGCATACACTTGTGGTTAAAGGGTAACTCCACTTTCATGGGAAAAAGTAAAGCAAATAAAAAAATAATATAACATATTAAATTGCCATACAAGCCATATTGCAACTACAGTATTTGTTATTAAAAATGGCATTTCCTTTTCAACCTTGAGATGCTATCATTTTCTGTAAACTTTAATGCGATATGGCAACCTGGAGGCGTTCTGTACATCATTGGTGTACAAGACACCCCTGGAAATGTTGTTTCCCGCCTGTACAATTGGCTTACTGATTTTCCCAAATGTCTGCGCTAAGATACAATTCAAATTTTATGTACCCCATGCAATATGAATTTCAGTTTTAGTGAGATACTGCACAAGAGTTAAATATTAAATTCTAAAAGGATGTAGACGCTGCAGTGTACCAGCTGATTATAATAAACCATCCCATCAGAATCAGTGTGCAAAGGGCACTGTAAAACATACAGCTATTTCTTCAAAGCAACAAAAGGTAGCAGGGGCGGACTGACAACTCATGGGGCCCCCGGGCAATAGGGGATCATGGGGCCCCTGTGTCCTTTACCAAACTCAAAAAAGTCTATGAAAAAGGTACCAGGGGGCATCTCATGGGGCCCCCTACTGACCCGTGGCCTCCACAGAGTTTAATCCAGCACTGAGTCCTTCTTTCTAATATCACGTTTGTTACCTGCTTTTGATGAAAAAGTCTAGATCAGGGGTGCTCAACCTGTGGCCCTCTGATGTGGCCCGTGAACTCAAACCAGGGAAGAGCATACCTGGGGTCAGCAACCCATTGATTGTGATCTGGGCTTTCTAACCTGCTACAAGGTTTGTTAAAGCCCCTGCAATGTACATAGTTCACCCAATGGAGATGTTTTTTTTTTTCAAAACAAAAATTAAATTACTCTTTAAAGCCCGGTTCTGGACACAATTAATCTTCCATGGTTAAAGCAGCTATGCTCTCCTTTTTCTTACATTCTATCCACTGTCATGCAACCTTCCTTGTACAATAGGCAGATTTGCTCATTTATATGCCATTGGAAGCAAGCTCCCGCTGCAGGACTCATGGACCCCAGTGCTGCAATCATATCTCCACCCCCCTCCTCCAATCCACTCACAAAACAGACAGCCCCCAGGCTTTATTTCATGAGTGGCCAGGAGGAGAAGGAGGCAAATACATGACTGCAGCAATGGGGTCTATGAGACCTGCAGCTCTTACATCTAAGTTGCCTGAAAGTACAGCATATAAATGAGCAGATATGCCTAATGTACAAGTAAATCTTCCTGATTGGGAGTGGCTATTAAACAAAAGCAAAAAAATGTTTGGCCCCGTGAACACTGTACGTTTGCACTGGTGCAACGGGTTCCGGTATTTAGGTGAAAGCGGAGGGTACAGGAGCACCCACTGGCCCCACTGCCTGTTATACCTTATGAGAGGCTGAAAGCTGCTTTGACCAGAGGAGGACTGGTGTTCAGTGTGTGCTAGTAAGAGCCCAGGGAAAAATGTCCAGAATGTACAATGCGAAGCTGGATTGTGCATCTATGCCTTTGCTGATTTCTAAAAGCCAGATTCTCATACATCGAGGATAAACACCCATTGTGCATGGGGCCTTAACCATGATTGTGCCCAAAATTGTGCTATGATTATTCTAACAGAATCTTACAGCCATGGCTCTCCTTGCCCTTTACGTCCTTTGGACCAAACCTCCTTCCCACTGGTTGTGTCTCTGCACTAGGTCCTTGTGGGCTACTATAGTACCATACTCCTAGAGTGGGGCGATTGAAGACTTCTACACAATACATACAATTTTATATCAATGAACTGTGTAGGAGCTAGAGAAGATTTTTTTTTGATAGTGTGTTAATACATTGAGAGACCATGGCTTTGGAATGGAATCAAGTACACATCTGGGGATGGTGGGTACGTTAGGTTGGGGGTTTAAGGATAAATGTACTTTGTGTGAAAGCACACTTATCCTTTATCCCTAATAACCCCTTCAAAAGAAGAGATCTGACTAACTGGCAGGCAGTGAGTAAAAATGTATTGTCAGCACTGGGCACTACTGCTATCTAAAACTTCCAGGTATGTCATATACTGTATTCCTCACTAAGTACCATGATTCCTCCTGCCAACCATTATGAGACTACAGTACACAGGGGCCTGTGGGAGGAACCGCAGCACCTAGCAGGGACACACTGTTTAGGATGGAAAAAGATCTGGGGGTCCTAGTAGATGACACTCAGCATGGCATGCAATGCCAAGTCACAGCAAACCAAAATATTATCAAGCATTAAAAAGGGTATTTACGAAAAAAATACAACTATAATTGAGCCAATTTACAAGGCTCTGGTCTGGCTGCATCTTGAGTATGCCATCCAGTTCTGGTCACCAGTCCTCAGGAAGTATGTGCTGGAACTGGAGATAGTCCAGAGAAGGGCAAAAAAACTAATAAGGGGACTACAAGCATTAATTTATTCTCCCTGGAGAAGAGACGCTTGACAAGAGATAGGATAGCGATAAATACCTCAATAGTGAATCTAGCATAGGTAGAAAACTCTTTAGTCTCAGGGAGTGTAAGAAGACACGGGGTCACTTAATGAAATTGGAGGAGAAGCAGTTTAAATTTTAACTGCATAGGGAGTTCTTTACTGTCAGAGTGATAAGGATGTGGAACTCCCTTCCACTTTCGGCAGTGTCTGCGGGAAGTGTTGAAAGTTTCAGAAAATTCTTAGATGGGCATCTTAGTGAACGCAATATACAAGTATATGGGAAATGGTATTGACATACACTCACACATCCATACCCACATGGGTTGAACTGGACAGCCTGGTGTCTTTATTCAACTTTACTAACTATGTAACTATGATACTATGTAAATATCATCAGCACCTGGAGCTGATAAAGACATCAAAGATTTCACTTACCACCCACCAGAAAGGTAAGTATTACATTTCTTCTATTAAGGGGAAAACTTAGGAATGGGTTTTCTTAGAGAAGCAAGAGGGTCACTAAGAACAGTTTATGGCAGCAAATGAAACCAATCACTTACTAATGAAATCCAGCAAAATCTGTGCTGAAATGGATGTGCCATCAGATTGAAAAAAATGGAGTGTGAAGTGGATTGGGACACTACGGTGAGGCCTGGATGAAAAACTGAAGAAATTATCAGGTAGGATGTGATCTCTGTATGCATTCAAAGTCTAAATTTCAAGATGAACTGGAGTGTTCCTTTGAAAAGATTACTGTGTTTTCTCATCATAAGCTGTGACTAGAGGAAGAAAGC